ATAATTTCAGTAAGTCATATAACTATTGGTTTCTTTGTCTACTTAGGTCTTTATCAATAACAACTTTGTGGATTCTGTGAGTGGAAAGACATTTCCAACTATCAATCCATCAACTGGTGAAAAGATCTGTGATGTAGCTGAAGGAGACAAAGTATGATAACATTCTCTAGCTATGACTGTATTTAGTATGTTAATTTATTGCCCCAATGCACGTACAATACTTTGTTCTTACCTTAGTTATGACATGTTATTGCTAGGCTGATGTGGATGTTGCTGTCMAAGCTGCCCAACAAGCTTTTCAGCTTGGAAGTCCTTGGAGAACTATGGATGCTTCAGACAGAGGAAGGCTCTTGTACAAACTTGCTGACCTGATTGAGAGGGACAGGGCATATCTAGCTGTAAGAATCTCTCTTGAAAGAAATTGACTTTACCTATAATTACTACTTCAACAAAAAAAAGATTGGAGATCGAATTAGAAATAATGTTGATGTCACATTTTTTTTATGTAGAGTCTAGAGTCTCTGGACAATGGCAAGCCCTACARTGATTCCTTCAATGTTGATTTAGACCTGGTTATCAAGTGTTATCGCTATTATGCAGGCTGGGCAGATAAAGTGCATGGCAAAACTATTCCATTAGGTGACGAATGATCAACAATTTCACAACATATATAAATATATATATATAGTGCTTCAATATTAATTGTGCCAAAGTCAGCTCAAAGAGATCCATGTTGTTTTGGCRAAGGTTGAATGGCTGACATGACCATAAAAGTTATATTTCCTGCTAGTTGTGTGTACATATCTTGCACAATGATGATGTATTTATATAATCAAATATTAATTCAAAGTACTGGTTACTAGATGGGCCTTTTATGTGCTACACTCGACATGAACCAGTTGGAATTGTTGGCCAAGTTATTCCATGGAATTTCCCACTGTTAATGCAGGCTTGGAAGCTTGGYCCAGCTCTTGCATGTGGCAATGTGGTAGTAATGAAACCAGCRGAACAGACTCCACTCACTGCTTTGTATGTGGCTTCTTTGATTGCAGAGGTAAGTTCATCTGGAAACTGTATCATAAGCAAGTGGTTGTTTATTGTGATTAGCTAAACCTCTACAATTTAAACCATAAGCTAGAAAGAAGATCACATATGTGTTTTTGTAATATAAATTTTGCTATTGCTTTTGTWCAAATAGGCAGGTTTTCCAGCTGGTGTAGTAAACCTTGTCCCAGGGTATGGTCCTACTGCTGGTGGTGCAATTGCTGGTCACATGGATGTTGACAAGATTGCGTTTACTGGATCTACTGAGGTAGATTGATTCTCCAAGAAAAATAATAAAAATAAATACCAAATTGAGCAATATTATTCATCAATACATTTATTGACGATTTTATCCCATATTTCATTCATTCATCCTTCCATTCATATTTATTCATTCATTTGTTTATGGATGATTTTGTATTTGTTTATCATCTCAGGTTGGGCACATCATTCAGAAAACAGCAGCTGAAAGCAATTTGAAGAATGTTACACTAGAGCTTGGTGGCAAGAGTCCAAACATTGTCCTTGCTGACACTGATGTTAACTTTGCTGTTGAGATGAGTCATTTTGCTTTGTTTTTCAACCAAGGACAATGCTGTTGTGCTGGCAGCCGTACCTTTGTTGAAGAGTCTATCTATGATGAGTTTGTGGAGAAGAGTGTGCAAAGAGCTCAGAATCGTTCTGTGGGGAACCCTTTTGACTTGAAAAATGAACAAGGACCACAGGTAAATGCAGCATTTCTTTTTGTCTTATGTTTACATAACATCAYCATCAGCTCTGAAAATCATGTTGATATCTTGAAATTTGTTTAGGTTGATGAAGAGCAATTCAACAAAATCTTGAACCTGATTGAATCTGGAAAAAATGAAGGAGCAAAACTAGAGGTTGGAGGTGGTAGAGCAGGTGACAAAGGGTACTTCATCCAGCCAACCGTTTTCTCAGGTGTTGAAGATCACATGACAGTTGCCAGGGAAGAGGTTTGTTTGTCAGATGTCGTTGAAGCCAAAGTTAATGTTCACTTTGATTTTAATTGAACAGCAGTCACATCTGTTTGTCATTGGTCAACTTCTATGTATTGTTTTTAGATTTTTGGGCCTGTGATGCAGATTTTCAAGTTCAAAGACATGGATGACATTTTACATAGAGCAAACAAATCAATTTATGGTCTGGCAGGATCTATTATGACCAACAACCTTGAGAAAGCTTTGATGTTGTCAAATGGTCTACGTGCTGGTACAATATGGTATGTCTAAATTGAGCATACACAAAAGATTTTAAATCTACTTCAATGTTATTGTTAYACTCTAAAGTGTGACACACTTATTAGGTTGATTTAGTTATGATTTGTTTATTTTTGTGTTAAGTGGGAGCTTACAGTATTTGGGAGGTAGTAAAAATATTGTATTCTGTTATTCTGAAAAAGACTGACTTAATGGCTTTTCAGGGTGAATTGCTATGATGCTCTTAGTGCTCAAGCACCATTTGGTGGCTACAAAATGTCTGGAATTGGYAGAGAACTGTGAGTATCACAATTTCATTGTTCTTTATTGAATTAAATATATACTGAACCTGTATGTCTTCTGCCTCAGGGGTGAATATGGCTTGCAGCAGTACTCTGAAGTCAAAACAGTCACCATAAAACTACCCCAGAAGAATTCCTAAATGTCAAAGATGGACAAAACACATACTTATGCATGCTTACAATGTGTAGTAAATGTAACCATTCTCTAGTAATATTTACTAATTGTAGTTGCTCTTAGAGCAAAATTGCAATTGAGTAATTTTTCATTGTCAGTGTAAAATTTGTCAATGAAACAAAAGAAAACAGTCTGGACTCTGCYATTCGTTTGCAACTGAAATGGCTGATACTGTAATCACACAGCCTACTGCCACCTCCAACTGTAGTCAAAATAATAAGTAATAATGTATTATTAGATAGTAATATAGCAATGAGGATAAAGGTAAAGTAAACAAYAAGACAGTATTTTTGTACAATGGTGCAGTATTTAGACATCAACTTGTACATGTACTTTGTATTACATGTAATCACCTCCACACAATTAATAAATTTCAAAAAAATCACATAACCTTTGTTCTTATTGATGGTGTATTGGTAGCAAAAACAAAGGAGAAAGTATTTGATCATGTATGTAATATGTACTTTCTAAATACTGGAATAACACATGATCACAAGTGTTTTGGATGGAACATTTCTCTAATCTGTTTATTAATCTAAAGAACTCAAAAGAGAAGACAGTGCTTTYGCATACTCCTTTGGGTTTTTATAGTAGATGCAATTATTTGCACACGTTTCAGGATTAGTGTCCCACAGTGATGGYCCACAAGCACACAATGCCTGAATCCTGATTCCCTTTAACTTAATTTTCTCTTTCAAAACGGCTTTCATTGCCTCAACAAACCGTTCAGACTCCTTGCTCTTTTGCAATCTTGCAAGTCTTTGTTCTAAAATCTTGTTATGTTCTTTGCTTTCTTCTKCTTCTCTTTGTTGTTGTTCTTGTTTGAGGTCTTGAGCATGTTGCTCCTCTAATTCCAATATTTGTTTATGCTTGTGTTCAATTTCTAGACGACATATTTCCTTCTCAACTTTTATCTCTGCCATTCGTTTTCTGTGCTCTTTCATCCTGATGTTTTCTCTTACTTGTTCCCGTTCAATATCCATGAAAAGTTTTCTGTATAAAGCCATTTGGCTTCTTTGCTGCTGTCTAAAATCCTCTGCCACCTTTCCAGGCTTTAGGAGATCCTCTATTGCTTTTTTATGGAGGTATTTACCACTGCCTTGGATGTTTACTCTGTTTCCTTCAGTTCTTTTYTTCYCRTRTTCAACATTATGGTCTGCAAAAGTAACTTTCTTGGAGTGTTTRTTTCCACTAATCATGTTAGGATCAAAAATAGTAACTTTACTTTGGTTTTCTTTTGCCAGCCATTGTGGGATWCCTGCCTGCTCAGTTCCACAAGTCTCACTCGTTTCTGGTTCAGTTAAACTCATTTCTTTTATTTCATGAGGTCCCATCCAGTAATCCCCTTCATCCACTTTTTCCATTTCCATTTGATGACTTGCTGAGACATCTTCTTTCTCATTTTCTGAATGAAATGAGGTTCTAGCATTTTCAGATTGATAACACGGATTCCATCGTCCTCCTGGAAGGTCATCATCACGATTTTCGTTCCCTTCTTCACCAAGGGCTCTCGATTTTAGTGCAGACCTAGCATATTTGTTGGATTGACGAATTTCTTTTGCATGCTCTTCCAGTAGTTGACTAGCTTTGTCTACTGCTTCGTGACTATGTGCAAGAATACCACGAGTTATTGGTCTCATTATAGGTTGATCCTTGCCGTGTCGAAAGCTACAAGTGTCTTGTTTTGATAAATCTGATGTTTTCCTCGAAGGAACGACGCGAGGAAAAGAACTCTGATGAACAATGTTTCGAACTATTTCTACAGCTTCAGCGCTTTTCCCAAGTTGTTCTTGTCGCTTCATCCTCTCTAGGATTCTAACTCTACTCTGGACTTGAGATTGGAAGTCTTTCAAGCGTTCAGCCTTGTCATTTACAACTTTTTTCATCTTCACCTCCTCGGAGAGCGCGTCCTGAATCGCACAAGTTTCGGTTGATGCAACTGGTTCAACCCATGCAGAAAATGGCGGAACTCCAGAGGAACGGTGCGCAAGGTGCCCCTTTGATTTGGMTTTCTTACGTATCGTTTTCTGTGAGATATTTCCCCTTTTAAACGATGTATGATCTGGAAGACAACAGACAGCTTTTTTGGACGCCATTTTGTTTTAGACCGTTAATATGAGCCCGTGATTTTATCGTCAGCGACTTTACCCATTAGTTTCATTTTTTTCTCGTTTTCTCGCACTGGGTAAAACCTGGGCTCTAATCTCGTTGGACCTACATAATTTTTTGCATTTTCTGTTCGTATTTCTTGTAATAAATACGACATTTTAAGAAATGTCCGACGTGGATGATGACTATATGTGTGACGATGAAGAAGATTATGATCTGGTGAGACTGACCATTTTAAAAATTTTCTGCAATTTTGCATATTATTTGATTTTTGACATTCATTTTGTGATGTGGTTGGCAAAAACACCGGTTTATGAAGTTTTGTGAAACTAATGCTTGTTTTGTGAACCAAATTGCTTTTATTTTTAATTTCAATGACATAGTTTGTAGTTTTCTAATAGTGATGAAGGAATTAATGTGAATCCTCTGAAGTTTGAACGTTAAATATATCTTTGAATTTTGGTGTACAGTGAAAATATGTGCTATGTTCTTATGTTTTGAAATACACATATTTCAGTTATATTCGTGAAGTGTATTTGTTCTAGCCATTTCATTATAAGATTTCATTTTGAATACTCATTTATGATGCATCGCAGGTTCTATTGACATACTTGCAAATATTATTATCTTGTGCTTTGACTGCATACACTGAGTTTTACATGCAGAAACAGCAGATTTGATATGCCTGTGCAATAGCACCGATCGCAGTATAGACAAGACATGGTACGGTCAAAACGCTTCACCTGGAAGTAATACCATAAATGAGAAAACATGGCTACAGCACACCATGTTTGCAACACAAAATTGCTGTAACTTTTGCACACTCATGCAAATCTCTCCTGTTTGAATACCTGAGCTTTATGGCAATGAACAAMATATTAATTTAACTTACAGGAATACTCTGAAGATAGTACATCAGAACCAGATGTTGATTTAGAAAACCAGTATTACAATTCTAAAGCTTTGAAGGAAGATGATCCAAAAGCTGCATTACAGAACTTTCAAAAGGTAATAAGATAGAGATGGAGTATTGCCACTGATCAGACTTATAACTATTTTGTACTTGTGTAATTTTATTGCTAGTATGAGGCATAAAAGGCGGTTGACACTGATCTTATACTAAACACTGCAAATCAATTACAGGTTCTTGATCTTGAGCAAGAAAAAGGAGAGTGGGGTTTCAAGGCTCTTAAACAGATGATAAAAATCAACTTTAAACTAGTGAGTTATAATTACATTAATTTCCAATGCTTACCTCTAAACAATTCATGACTAATCATTGCTGCAATTTTGAAGTTTAATTATGTTGAATTGACTTGATACTTGTTCATTGTGCTGTCATCTTTTTCCACTGAAGTGGGAGATAATTTGGAAATGATTCAAACTATTATTGATAATCACAGTGTGCGAACTGTAAAAACCTTCAGTTGATGTAATAACGTAACTGACCTTGGATTTTGGAATGACATAATTTATAAGAACTTTTCTATTTCCAGGGAAAACATGATGAGATGATGACACGATATAAACAGCTATTGACATATATTAAGGTAAAACAGCCTGTTAACCACTTATTATACATTATTAATTTATTAATGAATTATTAATATCAATCTAGAGTGCAGTTACAAGAAATCATTCAGAGAAATCCATTAATTCTATACTTGATTACATCTCTACATCTAAGCAGGTATGGCATTAATTATGTACAATTTAATTGCCAATATCACTGACTACAAACACTAACGGAACTAACATGATATCATTCTTGTTCAGATGGAATTGCTCCAGAATTTTTATGAAACTACTCTTGATGCATTAAGGGATGCTAAAAATGATAGATTGTGGTTTAAAACTAATACAAAGGTAATGATTGCTTGATTTGTTGATTAATTACTACTTTTTTATTGATTGGTTGATGGAGTCATTGATTGATTGATTACTTGTACATGTAGCTGGTTGATTGATAGATTATATATGTTTGGATGGATGGATTGATTGAGTTATTAGTTTAGTTTGGCTAACAACTAATCTTTCTAACTTCCTTGTGTTTTTGAAAACAGCTTGGAAAGCTTTACTATGACAGATCAGAGTTTAACAAACTTGCAAAGATTCTTAAACAACTGCATCAATCTTGTCAGGTAAATGATAATGATAACTGATTAAGGCCATACTAATAATTATATATCATACATTGAATATAATATCAATATTGCAGACTGACGAAGGAGAAGATGATTTGAAAAAAGGAACTCAACTGCTTGAAATTTATGCTTTAGAAATTCAAATGTACACTTCACAGGTGAATATCAGTTTCTATTTTTCTTTTCTTTCCTTTCCTTCACTTTCCATTCATTCTCATGCCATGCCATTTTTTCTTTTACTTTTTTAATGAATTCAAGTTTCTAAACTAGTGCAAAATTAACATATTGAGTCTATGTCTTGTTTTCTAGAAAAATAACAAAAAATTAAAAGCCTTGTATGAACAGTCATTACACATCAAGTCTGCAATCCCTCACCCTCTTATCATGGGTGTCATAAGAGGTTTGTTTACTTTTGTTCAATTCTTCAAATGTCTGACCCATTTCATTATATTAAAGATGTACAAGAGACCCAACCTACCCCTGTAAGTGTGTTTATACTGCACAACTACATAGTTGTTTCTCTAACAGAATGTGGAGGCAAAATGCATTTACGAGAAGGAGATTATGAAAAAGCACATACTGATTTTTTTGAGGTAAAGTGAAATGATATGTGCCGGGTTATATAGTTTTGGTTTACCAAAGATACCTGTGTTGAGTGGGCTACCTGTGTACCTGTGATGTCATCTATGTATACTCCAGTTTTGAAATCATATTTGTGCAGCCTTAACCTTGAAAGCATATAATATATTATTTAATTCAGCAGAGATCCTTTTGTAATGCAAACACTCTGTGTCTACAAAGAAGACAATAAAAAAATCAAAAAAAGAGAATTTTAAATTGGAGTATTCCATGGGCTAACTGTGTCTCTTCTGTTTCCAGGCATTTAAGAATTATGACGAGTCAGGAAGCCCAAGACGTACAACATGTTTAAAATACCTTGTACTTGCAAACATGTTGATGAAATCAGGGATAAACCCTTTTGATTCACAAGAGGTTTGTCAATTATTAGTGATGTCATTAGTCTGTGTTTATTTCATTTTTCTAAAGGCCCGTTTACACTTGCAATTTTTGTAGCTTGATTGGGCGTGACAATGTCCACTTTGCCAACCTGTCTGACCTTTCATCCTGTATTTACTCAAGTAAAAGACTTTATTTTTGTCTCATTGAGCTGATTTCTCAAATTTATGAGTAATTGATGAGTATAAAAAAAGAATATGGCTACTTTCTATATATATATAAGAATATGACTACTATCCTTTACTGCCATTTCTTTTGTTGGGCTTCCTGTACCTCCAAAAAAGCACAGGAATCCCGAAAAAGAAAGAGGAGACTGTTGCTTTCATGACCTTGTCTTTTATAGTTTGACTGAATTGTAGTCATATAAGTTCTTTATTATTTTTTAACAGGCTAAACCTTACAAGAATGACCCAGAGATCCTTGCAATGACCAATCTGGTTAGTGCATATCAGAATGATGATATCAATGAATTTGAAAAGATCCTGAAAACCAACAGGTACTAGTGATTGGCTAAAGATTGATTGTAAAATGATTTGAGTGATTGATTGGTTGGTTGGTTGTTATATTGATTGATTGATGATTTGACTGATTAGTTGATTGATTAATTGATAGGTTAAATGATTAATTCAATATCTTATTGATTGATTAGCTGGTTGAGGAATTGATTGATTGATTTGGGGAAGCAAGGGTGGCCAAGCGGTGATTGCACTGGTCTGTCACCTCTCTGGACCCTGTTCGAATTTCGGTCGGGATGGCATATGTGATTTGAGTTTCTTTCGTTTTCTCCCTTGCTTCGAGGGTTTTAAATTGATTGATTGGCTGACTGATTTTTAATGGGATGATTAATTGATCATTTGATTGAATAATTGATTGTCTTATTCAATGATTACTTGGTAAATTTATTTCACTTTTTATTCATTTCTGTTCTTGTATTCTTATCCATCAACTCATTGTAATCCATCCATTCCTCCCATCCTGGTCCCTCACCATTCATCCTCTCCGTTCATTTTCATGTTCATATTTTATTAATGGTTGCTTATATTTTTTAAGGAAAAACATTATGGATGACCAATTCATAAGAGAACACATTGAAGGTACAATGACAGAAGTATAACTACTCTTAAAAGATGTCTTATCATCATATCTGTTCAAAAAGAGCAACAGCAAACAGACAATCAGCTTAGGCTGAAGAAGCATTAAACTATAGCTGATCTACAGTAAACCCACTAGGTTAATAAACGACGCATCATATATAGAGATTTTAATAAACTTATCCTTCTTTTTATCRCCAGATCTTTTAAGAAACATCCGGACACAAGTGCTGATAAAGCTTATCAAGTAAGAGAAAGAATAACATGATGTCTCGAAAAATTGTCACTTGGAGAACAAAAATAGAATAAGTAGTCAATGTTTTTATGATTTCTGTTTTTTTCAACGGTTTGTTTTGTTTATAGTTTACAAAAGTATACGTTAGATATCCTAGCATATTTCAGGTGTTTGGATGTCATGATGTAAGTGTAATCTCTCTTTTTTTTTCCTGTTTAGGCCTTACACAAGAATACACATCCCTTTTATATCTCAGGTATGTCCGTAAWACCGAGTGTCCGATTTAAAGAGAGATATTATTACTACACTACCGTCAACTCTCGTTATAACGGACACCTTCGTACTATCATATAGTGACCGTAATACCGAGTGTCCGATTTAAAGGGAGATACTATCACTACACTACAGTCAACTCTCGTTATAACGGACACCTTCGTACTATCATATAGTGACCGTATTACCCAGTGTCCGCTGCGAAGGGTGTTATTTCCAGGGATTTATCTAAATGTCCGTAATATCGGGGTGGACTTTATTAACTGTGGTGCCTGACTGCGAGAGTTGACTATGTTCTTAGTTTATCTTCTTATCGTAACTGTTTCATACTTAAAAGCACCAACGCAACCCACACCCGTCTAGGTCAATTATGATGAGATTTGCAACAAAATATCTTCTTTCTTCTAATGACAGGAATTGAACATCGATAAAGACGAAGTTGAAAGTCTCTTAGTATCGTGTATTCTTGATAAGTAAGTGCAACATGCAGGTTTAACTGATACAGTAGAAGATTAGAGCAATTTATACGGTCTGACACGTATCTCCCAGTCAAATAGACTTATATGGTGCACGCGACAATATCCACAACACATTTAGAATCCATCAACATACGGACGAACCTATGGCTATTAGTAAATGTACACTTTGAGAAATTGAGCCGTATTTCAAAGCAAAACAAACAAAAACGGCCGCACCCTTTTTTTACTGGCTATTCCTGTATCATAACGTAATATTGTGTCTTATCATGGCAGTTGGYTTGTCCTGTCCTTGACGTTTATTCATAGTAATAAGTTCCCTAGACGCCCTCGCKCRCGAGCGGATCTCGATTTTATAAGATTGCCCCCAATACAAGTATATAGGTCTCTTCGACTATACAGTATGTCTAGCTTWGGATCGACCCTCGAGATAAAGTTTCTTGTTTTTCTTAATTTGTCTCTGTTTTTAGTTTTTATTTGTATGAAGAGTTCGTGCAGAAGGTTTAAATTTCACCGTAATAATCGACTGCAGCAAGGCAGAGTGTATATTATAGTATTTACTCTTGTAAAGGGTCTCGCATAAAGTGTAGATAATGTTTCCCACCGGAAAGAACTTATTTATAAACTATATACTCTGCTTAGGGATGTATTCGACGTTTATTCTTTTTTATCCTKAACAAGTGTCTCTAGGCTATTCGCCCATGCCTGTTCTTGTTCTGCATATATTGGATTTGAAGTGGACTCTATGTTTTTATTATTGTTCTGTATCAACCAGATAAAATGCCCTAGCCGCCATTCGCCTCGCTATACGATATTCAGTCTTGTTAATAATTGCGTTGTTTTTGATATATATAAAAATAATGAATCATGTTACATGTTAACTTGTTGATTTTTGTCTATAATTTGTTCTTGACAGTACAATTCATGGAAGAATCGATCAAGTTAACCAGCTCTTAGAACTAGACAGAAAATCACAAAGTACAGACAGGTATAGATTGACACTGTCAATCACTGCCAGTGACGTCATCAGCATGATCATCAGGATCATCATCTAGATTTTATCAATCATTATTAAATATTATCGATGATTATTTTCACAGATTTACGGGTTTAGACCGGTGGACGTCCCAGCTCAACTCTCTACACACGGCCATTATCAACAAAATAGCGTAGAAGGCAGAAAGTCTTGGAGGATGACCAAATTTCACTTCTCTTGTCAGTGTTGAAAACTGAAGATCAAAGACTGGTTATTTGTAGATAAGTCCACAGTGTATACATTTCGTGCATATTTTATATTCTGGGYCGATGCCAATAGAGGKTGTTCGCATGTATCTCAAGTTGTTTTCTTTCAATGGGACGACACAAAAGAATAAATTTATCCCTGCTRCTTGTGAACTAAAACCCTCTATTAGGTAGACGACCTTCTAGGATTTTATAACTAGTCTTAAAGSTTTAAAGGGTTGGGCTGCCTCGTCTTACAAGCAGCCCAGYCCTGTAGTTTGGAACATGGACAAAGAATCTACCATCCTCCATTGTGGTGTGTGCATGACACATGTATAGAGCTATAAGTTTGCGTTCATTGGTTAAAGCTCTAACAATTAACGGACTCTTCGTTAAGTTAAATCGTTTTGGGGACGTCAATATAAGCATCATTGAATAGTATTCCTCAGTTGAAATAATAATTAAAAATACAATATATTTCCTTTCGTTGTATTTTAATCTACAACTATAACATGCTATAATGTCATTCATAAATAATGTTATTTATAAATGACAGCAAAGCTCACCCGCCGAAAATACGTAATGCGAACTGAAATCTTCTTTTTGCCAAAATTTCTCAAGTGAGATATTTTTGCCAGCTTGTAAAACACTAAAAAAAGAGTTTCGGTGTAATTTGGTTGATTGATTTGTGGATTTGTTGGCCGATTTCCTGAGTGGTTGATTTGCTTTTTCAAGTTTATTGATTAATTTRGACGCTGTGTGTGTGTTGAGCGGTTGATTGATTGGGTTTAGTGTTCATTGTTAGAGTCGTGACAATCCGTGAAATACTATAAGACATTGTTGTTTTGTTTGTTTCAAACATAGCACGTGATTATTTCACGGCTTTTTGACTCCATTGCATCCAATGGTTGATTGTATAACGTCAAAATGGCCGACATCTTTGCTAGTATCTCAGCTTAAGGGGAAACATTCTCAATAAAACATTTAATTCAATTACTTACAAACAGTCAGGATCCGGAATCATAATGTGCAAGAAAAAAGTCCCCAGGCAAAAGCAAAAAGTGAAATTAATATGACGGTTTTTTGAGTCATTTTAAAGCAATTTAAAAGAGATTATTTTTCAAAATGCTGCACGACAGGTTATGATGTGACCAAGTAATTATACAAAGACCGACATGTAACAATTATATACTGTTTTTAGTCGGGGTTTTATTTCTCTACTAACTGGATATATTTCTAGTTAGCATATTGCTCATTTAACTCGGTTCGTTTGTTTATCCGCTCTTGGTTTATTTGTTGTTCATTTGTGGTCTCAACCACCAACATTTCTTTTATTTATTGATCTATCCATTCGTTTTCCATTCATATTCCATTAGCTATTGCTCATTCAAAAGTTTATTTATTCTTTAAAGGTGCATCTTCAGCGAACTATTAATGTTATCTGTTGCCAAGACATAACACTCTAAAAGAGTCATTTGCATTTTACATGTGTAGTTTTTCATGATCAGGTTTCATGTACGTGACGTTTATTGTGTTTTCGATCTAGAGTTTTAAATTGAAATTGTGCAATTTCAAAAAACTGTTTTATATCCAAAAGACTTCTTTGTTGTCTTCATGTATAGAGTTTTAAATTGAAATTCTGCAATTTCAAAAAAACATTTTATATGCAAAAGACTTTGTTGTTGCGTCTTCATGTCTTTTCAAGTTAATGATGTCAAACTGGATGTGATTTACTGATTTATTTGTATTCGTCGGGCRTCCAACTTTTTAATGATTCGGTCCATCTATCCTTTTTTCAATAATTTCTTTTTCCAATCATTCTTTTTTCCACTCATTCGTTCATGCATTTATTTTTTCATGGATGTATCTATTACACATTGATTGGTTTATCCTCCAGGCAGTTTTATTGCTATTCAATTTATGMGCCTATTCATATGTTGTTTATTCGCTATTTCTATTCTATTCAATCGTAATGACTAATTTTCCGCCACCCACGCTYGCTCAATCAAACACATATMTCGTCACATTCTTACCATCCGATCATGATGATTGGACTAGACGTAATAACAAATCTGCACATACTCGGTTGTATCTAAAGTCATAATAGACGAAACGCTAACGCCTCCGTCGAATTGTTCCATTTACACGGGTTCAGTGGTGGTTTGAGTTTATCAGGTATGTATCTATATCATCTTACTGATGATGAAGGTTTTGGTGGGCCTAAATCAATGTTCGTATTTAGTACCATATTGCCCTTTTTACATTCCTAGATTTTCCTTATTTTACAATGACACCAAAAAAATACCGCAAAAAMCAGATGTCTATAATGGTTTTATGTTAATTTAATTTTTTTTATAAAATTTGATCGAAACGGTATGGGAAATGCACGCGGAGGAGCGATCGGTTTCGAGAGGAATGCCGTCACAACAATGCCCTTGTATCCATTATTTTAGTATATAGTTTGTAAACAACGCCATAAGTATTCGATGATGAAATGAATTGGCGCCTTCGCTACTCTTTCGAATAAAACGTTTGCTATACAGAAGGATTGGTTACACCTGGCTTTTGTTGTGTGTTTTGGATAAAAGAAACGAAGTCTTCTGCAAGTCAATGTAGATCTAATTAAAAGTGGAAATATTATTATGTTATTTTTTTCTTTCTGATAAATTTGTATTTGGTTTGGGGACCAATAAAAAGTATGCATTCTAGTCTGATATTTGGCAAAATATTGATCGCCTTGTCCAACAATTCTGTATATAAACTATTATCTGTCCAATAATTCTGTATATAAACTATTATCTGTCCAATAATTCTGTATATAAACTATCATCTGTCCAATAATTCTGTATATAAACTATTATCTGTCCAATAATYCTGTATATAAACTGTTATCTGTCCAATAATTCTGTATATAAACCATTATCTGTCCAATAATTCTGTATATAAACTATTATCTGTCCAATAATTCTGTATATAAACTATTATTTATTATTATTATAATAATAATACGGTCAGCGTACAACAATTTATCATGCTTTGATTCAAGATAGCTGTGTTTGTAGATAGAAAAGAAAACAAATCGTGTGCTGTTTTTATTTTCTATATTTATCACTGATTAATGACAAGATAGGGGTACTGTAATAGGTTTGGTGGTTGGACGGTTTCTGCTAGTCTTTTTTTCGGTTTTCGTTGTTTATCTTTGTGGCGGTTTACGGTTGTCAAGATCGGTTGTCAAGATATCTCTTGGTTGCGGATTTGTCAGTTTTGCAGCGCGGTTTACGTGGTTCCAGTTCGCTWTTCKKTGCGAATTTGCCGATGACTACCCCCCTATAATATTCCCCCAAGATAAACAATAGCAATTCGAAATCGTATCGGCGGGTATGAAAGCACATCAGCCCGATCCTCTAAGACCGCACTGRCTTATGGGAAGTCCGTTTAAATCCCTACCTGTAGTGTTATCTGTGATCTTGAACCAGAGGCAACGTTTACCCTCAGGATCTAAAGAAGGAACTCGAAGATGTATTAATTCAGATATAAAAAAGATTACTGAACACGCTAATGAAAACGTCAGAATCTCTTACGAAKAAGGCTAATATCATCAATACTTAAAGAMGCTCTGAAAACAAACGAGAAGARTAATAAAACGAATAAACGAAAAACGTTTTTCACATTACTGTTTAACATTTGACAAGTGGTTTAGAACATACAGCTAGTTTCATCGAAAATCAAGTGAGAAGTACTACTTATAAAGAGTATGCAAAGAACGCGATATTATGCTACACAATGTACTGATAGACTGTCAATGCACTTTGAAAGAGAATTTATCATGTCTAAAGAAGCACAATATACACGTCTCGATATACCGCAACAATATTGCATTATATTGGCAATTACACCTGTCTAGTCTCAAGATACGTCCTTTCTAGAACGATTTAGCAAAGCTTTTATTTTGAACAATGATTTCCATCAAAACAAGTCGAGGAGAGAGGATTAAAGACTCGGTGTCTACCTCAGGTGACATTGTAAAGTAGTTGATTTTTCTTCTGAAAAGTTGATGAATTTGTTAAAGACTGAACCCTGATTGCGTGTTGCTGCAAAACAGATGTCAATTTTAATGTTTTTTTATTCAGTATTTTTTTCTATTTCGAAGTGGTATTATCAGCTTTTCAGAAAACGTTGAAAACTAATTACTGCATGTCTAGTGAATTCCTGGTAAAACAACTCCTTATAGATACTACAAAAAAATAACTAGTAAACGTATTTTCTTTCTATTAAAACGGTACTTGAATGTACGAAGCTAGTATAGTCACTCTGAAACCACGAACACTTCTTTTGAACGCCGATAGAACATACAACAATGTATTTTTGTCTTGGAATACACTGTCTTCACAGCCTACGACGATCCAGAGTGTTCTTCAGGAAAGGTTCTATACAGGACACTCAGGAGGGGTTGCACTCCGTACAAAATATTATAAAGAAGATACAAAATAAGGGAAAGTATTGAAGAATACACCCCCCTGCGCCCACCAGCTGGATCAGTCCCTGCTACAGTATTCAAAGATTTCTGAATTAGCTGTTATATGAGGGCTCTATAAGTATCTTAMCAAAAATATAAACAATTAATGAGCATTAAAGAAAAATCACTACTATGAAGGGGTTTGGAAACATCATGGATAATAAAAAAAACTTTTATTATTCATGGAAACATTAATATAAACCACTTTTTCTATGAATTTCTCACCATTTCACAAACTGTTCTTGTTATTTTTTCCGATTTTCAATTCTMGAAAAGATTAAATGAAACATCTGCCTAACATTCAATGCTAGATTTTTAGTGAGCAATGCCAGAGCAGCCATGATTGTAGTATGGACGAATAGATACAAATGAAATGAGAAATCCTTTTGGATCTCGAGTATTGGTTGCGCCATAGTTAGTAGAGGCAGACTGGCTGTCTCCCTCTACTAACTATGGTTGGGCTGCGGCCTGCTATTGAAGTTCCACCTTAGTATATATATACAATTTTTGATGAAGGTTTAAGTTTTATCGCTAGAATACTAGAATAATAAATGAAATACTAGTCCAGGGTTTTTTTCTTTACAGCCGTTACGTACAAATTTAAGCCGAAAGCGATTGACTTTCGTCAATGTTTCGTGCATGACTAAGACAATTTTGAGCGACAAATGCACCTTACCTATCTTAAGTTGTCAACATTTTTAAGTGCTGGAAATACCATTTTTCCAGTTAATGAAAAGGACAAAACAGCGTAAAACTTTTAATTGGAGATAGGTGTATAATTTTGAGTACGTKTGTGAGGGAGTTTTTATATTTTGTTAACGGAAAAAAAGCCTGTTTATATTTTCAAGAATGAACCTGGATGTCAGGTGGGCCATTCTCAAGCAGAGTTATCCGCGCAATTAGTGGAAATAGATGATTTACCGCATACGCCGCAAAAACATGATTTTCAAAGCGTGTAATATCTAAAGTGATATGGCTATGGATTAAAGGATCAATATTCTCGACAGCAAAGTGAATCAGAGAGGTTTTTCAGCGAAGAGTGCTATCGGYAGGGCATTTCCCCTACTTATCTCTRGTTACATCGATTTAATTTTTGTCAAAGTTGTTTTTCCAGCAAAGTAACYAAAAACCATAATGTTCTGCCATGTCTGGATCGTGTATGACCACAGTATCAATATCCGTTACCAAGAATCCGCGATTTTAATTGGTTATTATTTTTTGATGTTCGTTGCTGCGACAACTAGTAACTGTAGGTTCTTGATATTTTGTTTTGTACTCGTKGCTGCGAAACTTATCTGACTATGTCTTTTGTTAGAAATCAGTGTCTTGTCATTTAAGAATGGATTACATCTTAATAAAAGTTTAAGAATCTGTAGTGTTAATCCGATCAGTTTTAATAAAATGAAATGAGCCCTATTTTGTGTGCAAAATGTGCTTTGATTGACATTTCWCTAAGAATATAAAAGCAATAGGGTTTTTTTATGAGAAAACGTAGCRTTAGAGTTAAACTCATGTACAATTTTTATTACTTGTAAGTATTTATTTGTTTTAACTCTTCTTTATGATATAACTTGATTGTCTTTGGAATTAGATTCTTTTTTATGTAAGTTATTATATAAATGTAAGCCAACATTTGTTTAGCTCATTCACAGGTTTTTASCGAGTCAAATAGAATACTATTAACATTTTTCATTAAAAAAACAAGTAGTAATTACCTCTTTTACGCTTTTTGCACACACCTACTTGCGAAAAGTCGATATATCAAATAATATCTACTCCAAGAATAAATGAATAATGACGTAGTCTCGACTAACCAATGATAAATTACATGAAYCAAAAGGAAGAATATTATTGGTCATCCACTTCTGACGTCACTGACAATTGATTTCTGATTGGCAAGTCCCGTAATTGATTAATGCTTATATGTTTCCACGACAACGTTTGTTGCAAGTAGGTGAACATTGAAACTAATCCTGCATGGGTCAGGACTCAATTTCAATTTCCAAATGAAACATCTGGATTAGATCCAACTCACAAAGAAACGATTAGCAACTTTTCCATGTAGGTTTTAAAGGGATTTATTACTTTTATTGCTTTACAACACTCCGCTATGACAACCTTTAAGCAATACAGTTTTTAACAATTTTTGTGTGCTTTCAGTGATTGAAATATGTCTTATGATTGGCCCATGCACTCGGCTAGCACAAGCATTCATCAAATTACACCGATATTCGAAGAAATTAATTTGTACCGATAAACTGGAAACCTCTGGTGTCGGATCTCTTAGCAATCTCTGGACATCTTTACCAGTAATTAGTGCGTGTTTCCAGGAAAAAGAAAGTCGCCTCTAACTACGCAATCAATAATAGATAATTTAAATCATGAAATATTTATGACTGCATCGTTTATAAACAGCMGAARTTATTAGAGAGTGAGTATGTAATCACCACTGCGTGGTACGGATGAACTAACAGTARAAAAACCGCTTCACTTCAAAGAAGATTCAAACCGGTAAGTACGGAATTACATGCACAATCTCCGTACTAAAACTACTGTYATGTATGGGGTGACTTATTTCTGATGTGTTTCGTACATAAAATATGATTAACAAGGAATATCTTATAACGCGGAACTATTATCGCTCAGTAAAATTACTTCTTATAATAAAAATTATAATCAGTTCCTTTAGCTCAGGAAGTTATAACGCTGTTAGCTATAGATAGAATTTAATAATAAAGGAACAATTGGTAGATTTTTAGAAAGATGAGATCTATATGACTAGGCTTAATTTTGTAATGACATTACACGTTTTAAAAATTACTAAATGAACACTCCCGGTAATCGATGGGTATTTGTGCACTGAGGGACTATCGTKTTATTAGGTCGCGACTGTCTTGCTTTACTAGTGAAATGTCGACGGAACCGCATGAGAAATTACTTTGACTGTCGATCCCGCCGGGATTATTGCACTCGGCGAACTTCAATTCAATACCATACATAAACAACAAATATTTATGAATTTGGTAGACCTCAAGAATAGCAAAGCTAACCTAGGGGAATAAAGTGTGCTATAGGATTCATAGCTTTCCACAGCAGCCGTTGTCAACGCGGACTTTATAGAGACAACTGGATGTTGCTCGTAAGCTTTGAACAATCAACAATTTCGAATTATCTTTTGTGCAAGCTTAGCTTCATTCAAGCATAAATTTTTATTGTCTTCTTTGTAGCATTACAATAGGATTTCTGCTGAATATATAGAGGATATTACATGCTTTCGAGRTTATATTAAGGCTGCACAAATAMGATMTCGAAACTGGATTATATTAGTGTTGAAAAATGTTTGTTTTTGAAAACTACCTTCCCAAAAAACGTTTCRATTTTATATAATCGTGCACAATTATTCATGAGGCTAAGTACGATATGAACAATTACTGATGTAGTCTGAGGATGATATAAARAGTTKCACAGGCCAAGGTGATGTTATCCGACAAATTTACGAATTATATCAGAAAAACTATTTCATCTCAAAAAAAGTTYGCATGCCTTGCTTCAAGATATGTAGAATTGATGGACACTTAGCAATCAAAAGAGAGTATATATTTTGAATAGATAAAATGAAAAAAGTTGATTCGWTTTTTTTGACCTTGTAAATGTATAGTCATACAGCCTTATTTCGCTTAACATTTTTCCCTTTTTGATTTTACATCTGCTACAATTGTCTGAATATATAAAAATTGTAAACAGTTCTTAACTCCGTCATTGCTCCGTCATTGCTCAGTTAAACTAAAAACATTGYACCGCCTTTCTTTTAATTGACAATTGCTTATGTATAGTAGATCTCTTCGCCGTAGCCTTGATAAGAAATTCGGTAAGACCAGTCTGTAAGTGCTTGATCCTCCTTGGGTACTTAAGAAGGGTTGATTGTATCTTAGCATAGTCTAAAATATTCAAAATAGCTAAGAATTTTTTTTAGYTCAGATAATTGGAAATCTCTCTTGAAGCAGACAAACAAGGCAAGTGCAATTTGTTCTTTATTAGTGTGCCTTTATATAAAAATACGCACTTTTTACACCAGTAAAAGCAACCACCACTGTACTAAAACCTTCTCAGAAATGGTAGGTTTTCATAGCATTTTATATTTCTTTCTAGTTCCTTGATGGTAACGAAAGAAGACGTAAAATAACATTAAGAAAACATATTACCATTGCCGACGGGAGGCGTTGTGTTAGCAGCTGTTAGCTGACTAGCCGAGCGAGCTAAAGTGAGCTGTTATCAAATGTCATCCACAGCCGTTCGAAATCAARCGGTACCGTTTTACAAAATGTTTTTTTCTTGCTATCTATGTATCGAGTTTACTTTTACAGGGTTTATAACTTTATTTTTTTATATAACAAATGATAGTTTCCGTAAACAGACCGAATTATCATGAAAATCTCCACTCATTTATTTCATCTATGCGGTTAGTTGGCACCCTTTAGCAGCATGCGACGTCGCTAGTATTCCGGTCCTAGTTTATAAAACTCGTTAGAAATACCTTAGTGTATTATTATAAGGATGCATGTAAGGAACTATATGACTGATCCATATAAATGATATGAAATGCGATGTATAAATACACTATATTGACGCACATAAGACAAAAAATAGTAATTAAAAAATATATATATATCTTATTCAGGGACCGATATGTTTGCTTGCTTCATAGTTCAGTTCTATGAAAAACTGGCAGAGAACAACATAAATTAGTAATGATTATACAGATAGTTATGCACTCATTTTAAAGACTTTATGSTCTAGTGATGTACTTTCTTCATTGTTTTGAGTTTTGTTGTGCAACTCGGTAAATGAAATCATGGGCATGATATTTTGATACCATGGCTAGACACAGAATGACAAAATCATATTTTTAATCCAATGGTCGGCTTGTTTTATTTGGTCACTAGGAGCAGTTTCGAATTTTTGTTTGAAGAATCTTCTGGAAAATATGGATAGTTTCCGAATTTTCATCTGTTTCCATAGATTTCCTGCGATACATTAATAAATATGACACATTAACAATGTTGACTGAAATAKATGGATATAAATGTTTGCACACACACTCGGAAAACATTGTTCGATGTAATAGATGCGATCAAAGGATAAAATAGAAGGAATCTACTTTGACGACTTCTTGAAATATTGTTTGATAACATACTCTATTTACATTAGAATTGTTACCATCTTAAAGCCTTTGGAATTGACTGAAGAGTTTTTCATCCACAAGATGTGTTTACAATATCTCTACACGAAATATAACGTGCACATCCTAATGATAGTCCCTCTGGCCAGAGCTCGCAATGACGCTGTTGCTGGTTGGTTGTCAGTTACAGTGAAAAATTCCACGGTCTGTTTCGTATCCTCATTTGGTCAATATTTAAAACAAATCTTTTTGAAATCTCGTTTTTTTGAGTTGTGCTGCATATCAATGATGATATTTGCAAACTTTTATGCAACTTTGGTCGCAAGTGGATCATCGCCATTCTACTCGTTAAAAGTTAAAGCCAGGGCTTTCAAACAGAAAACAGAATGCATTCATAGGATCGTGTTTTTCCTTTCTTTTTTTGTTTTTTAGACTTTTCATTCCCGGAACTTTAAAGGAAAATGGCAGAAAACCTGATGCATAGACAAGGAATTTAAACAGAAACAAAAGGATAAAAATGAAGAAAATATAAAGAAAAGAAAGAAAAATGGAATGAAACAATACTTAGGAAGTTTYTTGAAACRTGATATTGTTGYAWTTCAGTCTTATTTGACGGCAAAAATGTCAAAATCGGAAACGTTTCGTCAAACCAACAATCAGATATGATTGATTGTCCGACGGTACTGAAGAAAGTCGGCAGTTTTAATTTGAATAGTTGGTCTTCATTAACAATTGCCAATCAAAAACAATTCATATGCGAACTATCAACAGAAACTAAAAAAAGACCGGTGTCCTAGCGCTGTTTGATGGAACTAGTGATAATCACAAAGTGCAATTACTATCTTTGCTGTGATTGGTCATTCCTTTCAATTAATAGACTCTTATTGAATTCTGTTTTTACCGTGATATTCTCGATAAATCGTTGKCAGTAAGCAAGCAAGTGCACTAAGCCTCGGGCCTCATTACACTTACCGAAATCTTGATTATTTTTGATACTCACAAAAAACGAATGCAATAAAATGTTATTATTGAACAACCAACCGTATGTTATTAAAAGATCTCTTAAGTCAAGGGTTTTTGACATGTTTTGAAGACATCAAGTTTTGAGAATATAAACAATGTTTGTGATTAATCACCTTTTAGACATACTGGCAGGGAGGAACTCTGTTACTTACAAACTAATTAAGAGAAAACTCCACAGAACTACGAAATCGCACTGAAATTATTGAGATATATGTAAAAATATCTCGTAGCAGCCAAAGCGTTCATGCAAGCAGTACCAAGTGGTTTCTTAATGCAAATTCTTGAGTAAAGTACGTGGCACAAACACAACTAAAGAGGAAATTACAAAAGTCACCTGACTTAGTTCATAGTACTAACAGAACTATTTTCATCACAGATTATTCCTTGAAACGAAAAGAAATTAAAGGCGATTCCTTGAAGGAAGAGAATTGAAAGGTAATTTGGAACTCTAATTTCAGGTTCAAGTTGATGAACTTACAGTCGTAAGTATAGTCAGTCGGCCATGATTTTGTATTTACATTGGTTTTAAAATGATTATTAATTGATAACTATGCTTGTAATAATCGGGAAGAGATTACATTTTGAACTTATCTTGTCTTTCATTCGTATTTCAAGTTTCTTTATGTACATTTTAAAAAAGTTCTCCACGATTTCTTTCCAAAATTGATGACCTTAGATCAAACATATCTTAATTACCACCAAATAAAAGCTAATATCATTGACTTAACTGACATATCGTATCCAACTTTATATTAGAAAATATGTGCTTTATTTATATTACGCCATTTCAAATTTCCCATCAATCACCTAGGTCTTAGACTTGAGAAATGTTTTGTAATAAAAAATTATTGATGACTTGAAAATCAGAGTTATTACGAAATTCTCCACCCAATAGCAAGACAACTTCAATCGCTAGCAAGTTACTAACGAAGTAACCTGAGTATCAGGGTTTTTGTGAGAATTGATACTTAGGTTACTACGAACGAAGGGAGTTTAAAGATGGCGGCCATGTGTGACGCGTGATATATTCTTTTAGTGAAATCAAAACCCCAATTTCCTATTGAATTAACTTTAAAGGCGTTTATTTTCACGTAAATGAAAAGTGGAGGATTACCATGGATTGCTTTTGAACACTGAGAGCGTTGGGATCGAACAATGTTATGTGATCCGGGACGTAATTTGGCGTTCGCACAATCAAGAGGCTCTTTATTGTTTATTTTCGTTCAATATTATCGGGCATTTCATTACTGTGCGTAATGACATTGTGTCTTTATACTGAGGTGGTTTCAAGTATGCCTAGTAATACTAACATAAAAAATCATTAAAAGCTATTGAAAGAATAATCAACATTTTATGAGAGATTTGTCAATTGTACATCAAAATGACTTTGGATTTTAATTATACTGATAAACTAGCTGGAGTAAGAGAATTTGAATGTTCTGAATCTTTGATCTGCCCAGTCGTAATATACTGTTAATAAGCTATCAATACACTTCTAATGAAATGAAATGTGTTTTTCTAAAATAACTATCGAATATATTGAAGCAAATCCTTGAAAGAAATTGCTATGTGAATAAACTGTGAACAAGCTGTCAACATACCAGAAAGTGTGARAAATTGAAATATTATATTTTTTCGGAATAGTAAGTACTCTAGTATAAAGGTACCTTTCAAGGGGCGTTTTCAATATGAATGACATTATGTTTAACCAAACTCAATCTGATGTTATCATTTTGCATTTAAGGTAGTGAGGACCGCACATCCTGCCATAAATAACTGGCCGTAAGGTAATTTACCGATTGACAACAAGCGCAGCTGTCGCGTGGCGAAGGGAGAAATCCATCAGTTGTTTACCATCAACACGCCCAACCATGGCTCAAAATGTAACATTTTCCAACAACAGTTCGACGGCAGCGCCTTCTAACGATGACAATACAATATTAATAACTGTAATGTGTTTCCTGGCCGTTCAAGGCTGTTTTGTTGTGATTATAAACGCGTTAGTAATATACCTCATCGCTAAAAAACATTCCTTACGAACAACGACAAACTTATGCCTGGGAAGTCTTGCTATTTCTGACATGATGACGGGTTTGTTTGTGATTCCTATGATCATCTGGTGCAATGCAAACTCGTATATGTTTGGTGTATGCCTGGCAATGGATCTTGGAAATCGTTTTCTTGCTATTTCCACRATTCTCCATCTTCTTGTGATTACAGCAGAACGATATTACACMATAGTCTTTTCKCRTGCTGCTATGTCACACTGCTCCATCACGATCCCAGAAGCCTTGGYTGCTCTCCCATGTTTGTGGGCCTTCGCTTTGGTAGCTTCCTTTGTGCAGCTCTTCTGGGTGTTTGATAGTGATGAGGCGAGAAAACTACGGGTTACCATCGTTTATGACCTTATTGTTCTTTCTATGCTAGTCTTTCTACCGTTGATTATAATGGCTGTAGCATATGGTCATATATTCTTTGTACTGAGGAGGCAGATAGCTAAGATAAAGCGCGGAATAAGACACTTGAGCGAACAAACTCTCGAAAGACATAACTGGAAAGAAAGAAAGGCATTACTCATCTATGGAGCTATGATTATCGTCTTTGTGATTGGTTGGTTTAAYTATTTCTTTCTTACTCTGCAAGATGACCTACAGCTCAAAGGATTACCGACACCATTATGGGTCAACATTATGCTACTGTTTTTAAAGAATAGTACAGGTATATTAAATCCTATATTATATACGTACTTGAAACAGGACTTCAGAAAAGCAAGACGGACTCTGGGAATATGTACTAAAAAAGACGTAAGGGCAAACAAYTTCAGCACAAACGAGATGACTTCTACTAACTTTGCTTCTACGGTTGTCGTCTATCAGAAAGTTTTAGTATAGATTACTAGTTCTTGTAATAATRATAATATATAATATGCTATTTCTTGAACATTGATAACTGTTTGTATGAAGGTATCGCGTTACACAATATGTAAATAAAAGCATTATGGAAGATTGGAAATTGAGATATGTTGAATGCATTTTTGAATTTCCTTTTCCACTTTGCGGATAATTGGATGTCTTTGCTTCCATTTCTTATGGCTTTATATTCGTTAATTTTCGTACATGACTAACGATTGTCTTATTCGATCTACATAAAAAAATATTTTCGCTTTTCTTATTTTCTTATTTATTTATTTTTTCCATTCACTGCCTCGGCCATCATGAAAATATCAATATTTCATTCATCACTTCACTTTCCAACCATTTCTTTATTTCGATCTTATTAATTATTAATTTGTATTTTTGTATTGTTCTCCACCGTCCTTAATTAATAAAAAAGAAAACATGAAACGCCAAAAAAAGACATCTACATAAAGAATACGAAACACGGCAGATGAAACGTGTCAACAAATTGAAATGTAGTACAGGTAGTACGTCCAATTTAGCAAAGAGTGAATTGGCTCCTCAAAGATTCTCAGTGAATAGCCACTCTCACCCTTGAGGTCCTCSCTGAGGCTATCTAAGCTTGTTCAAATCTACATGAGAGCTTTTATCATTAATCGGCATGGCTCTTTGCAGTAGAGCTATGTTTCCTGTTATAAAATCTTAAAGTTTCAATGATCGATGATACAGTTACACAGCTATATCCGGAATCTTCAGTTATTTTTGATCCTGATGTAATTATATCAAATTCACAAGTTTGTTTGGCGATGTTTCGAAACAGTGATGGTTATTCCATGATTATCTCTTCTGTATTAAATGTGACACGAATCGCCGCAAGAAAAAAATAAGTAGGTGTCGCCCTAAGAAGAAGAAGAAGAAAATAACATAACAAAATAATTAAAACAGCTGATAAACAAGATAGCTGCAAAATAAATTAAATGCATGGTCGTTATATTTCTACAGTTATTATCTTTAATATATCATTGAAAAAATACRTAAAAATGCATAACACTTGAAAACGACTATTTCGCATAATCAAATGAAAATGTTGTACGTCCTTGGTTCTCCCCGTTGCTTTTGGTCAGGGGGGGGGGGATGGGAAGGCTTTATCGAGGTCGCCGTCTGTTGCATTAGTACTAACCCCCTTCACCTCAGGCAGCTTTTTTTTGCCTTAACACAGGGATCCCACAGAGTAGATTTTGCCTGTGAAGGAGCCTAATGTGCATCAAAGACGCCGTCCCTTAGTCTCTTCTTAAAACCGCGACTACCGGTTTCGTGAATTTCTTCCCAGAAAGTAGGAAGGAAATTATTTGACAAAACCGGACGTCGCGGCTGTTAGAAGGCTGACTACCGTCCCCGCTACCGTCACCTCTTCAAGCCACTAGTGGTAACTGCCTTTATGTGAAAAAAATGATACTTAAGGGAAAACTGGTTCCCATGAATTCTTGATCTCGAAAGAGCAAAGTGTGTTTTGCGACATCGCTTGAAGAGTGCRGCGATCGTATTTGGCTATTATTCTCGTACCCAGGGTATATCGGGCCATTAAACGACCGAGGTGATKTGGGTACGAGAATAGCAACACATGCATTGTGAATCTAATATTTTACAAGATACACTCAGCAATGAAGATATTAACAGAGGACCTAGTAGTTTCTTGAAATCTGCAATAGCTTTGCTTAAAATCTAATTTATGGAAATTTAATAGTCAATAAATAATAAATTATTCATTGGTTTCGGTTGGAGAGTTCCTTGTATGTCACTACTATCTCTTCCGTTATTGCTACAAGCACTGTACAGCATCATTAAAGGTTTCTCATTCGATCATGGATATATTTGATTGGCTCTAATTCAAATCATTCAAACAAATAAACTTTCTAATCTTTAGCGGAAGTAAACTGCMSTCTACCAACCGCAGGATACTTAGGATATAAAACCAGTAAAATATTATGAAGTAAAACGTATTTCAGTGATGTGTAAAAGACATGGAAAATGGCAGCACAACAAAATGAAGGTAGTGCTCGATATTTTCTTACTTCAACACCCCTTTTTAATGTAAACGTTTTGCATTTTTTTGACGTTTAGTTCCGTTTATTTCCGATTATATGCATATTCTTGTTCACTTGTCATTAGTAAATACATTCGGGGGTTTTGCTGGGTCTACAATAGGCACACCTGCAATGTCAACAACAGCAATAAGRGCTTTAGGGGAAAAGAAAATTGTAAACTGAAATAGCTTATCCAATGACATGGAGTTTCTCCATTGCAAACACGACACTTGACCCTTCTATTTTTAACGTCGGGAATTTGTCTGAACACAGAACTCGTGCATTATAATAAAACTGATAGAATTCTAGCTACGAATGTGCATACAGGCAATTTTAAAAAACGCTACCCTCGTGAAAAGGCAGTTTTGACAGCAAAATCATTTGCGTATTTTTTTATTTTTTTTTTCATTTATAAGGGCATGCATGCAATAACTCCACATAAATTGCAAAGGAAGTATTAACTGAGGCAAGGTAAATAGCACTCTGTTCGCAGGGTAGAAAATAGCTCTATTCATGCATGTCATAAAAAGTTAAATCCAAGATAATTGCTAATGACTCACTRCTGTTTTTCTCTGGATCAGTCAAGTTGCACAAGGTCAAAAGAGGAAACCTCAGTAGACGGGCGAGAAGACAATCATTTCCTTAATAMCATTACAAATTCACGAAATTTCTCAGTTTTTGTTGGTATTTCTACGAAAATTAATTTGATTTGAGAAATAACATCCGGTTTTAATACCGCTTATATACTTTTGCCAATTATCCATTAACCCCTCCTTAAATAGCTCAGAAAAGTCAACACAACAATMATAAACTAAACGATATCGTATTGAATTACGTAACTATGCTACTGTGAGAGAATAATAAGACGATCAATAAAATGCCGTCAAACCCGCATGCAATCAAGTTGATAGTCCAAGGTGAATCTTATTAACCCAATCAGTTTGATACAACTTTATGATTCTCATTTTTTGTTGATAGTGTATTTCTAAGAAACTAATGCCTAAATACACTAAAATATTTCAATTTTGTTGTTAGTGGAACAGGAAACCTGCCAAAAGTTCTTTTGTTCATCTAAAAAAAGATGTGGATTTTCAATCATATTTGTTTTATGCTCTTTTGGTTTAGTTCTTTACAATAACCACTTGACCTTGCATATTTTATGGACAGAAAATAGTCCGGAACTGTTAGGAAGAAATACTAATCTGCGTCCTGTCAACGGTCAGCAATTGTTCCGCGTTTCTTGCATGCTGGATGTCCCCTTCCTTCCTCTCTTGTTCGACATGTCTTTGCACATTCGGAAACTATAATAACCTCACATACACTGCGGTTAGAAAGAAGTCATTCTACTTTGCACGCTCAACATTGCTATAGTGACACTCACTTCTAGCTCACTTTTACTTTGATTATCCATGGACGTTCAACTACTTCAGTATTTTGGAGATTTCTCCCAACAAAATATGTTAAGCTTTCCAAAAGGTAGGTAATTAACTAAAACAATAAGATATATATTGTCCCTTGAWATCGCGAATTATAAATGAAATAAAGCACGCTCTCAGTCAAGACCGATCAGAGCGCGCGCAAGCAATAACTCTCAATATTTTTTTTACCAAAGAAACAGGCAGCCTACTAAGAAAGCCAATCACTCGAGTGCAGTTCATCGATCTGCATCAAGTATATTACAAGGTACAAAGTCGTGTTGGCAGAGAGTCCAGACAGAGGCTGGTGGATGGTAGAATAAGGATGCTAGTTACATTTCATGCACAAATTCAAGGTATTCAAGTTTTCGTTGAAAGAATCYCAGAAGCTGCACTTCTGTGCAATGACTTTAATGGACGAGTAAAACTGGAGACAAAGATGGGCAAACTTGAATCGAATAAGGTGTGTAGACTCTTTGCCTTACAAGATCAATATTACTCACCTAACTGGGCAAGGTATCCCTCGCATCATATCAGACCCCCGGGGATCAGGCCAATAGGTAGGTTTTGCCCCAATTTTAAAGGCGAATCGGGCGGAGGGACACAAAAGGACCTTGCCAACACATATCCTTGAGTTTTGTATCAGCGCAAAACTAACACTTGTAAAAATTGTAAATTGTACACTAATTTAATCTGTTTGTTTGCAGCAATTCCTGTCAGTTGATCTTGACTCAGTGTACACGTCTCCATTAGGAAAACCTGTCTACAAACTTTCAACGGTCGAGGCGGAGAAAAGAAATCGTTTTCGTATTGTCGTTGTCATTGATGGGTCCGAGTCGAAAACATATTTCAGTAGACCATTCCTGATAAGAAGTCGAAGAACGTCCTTCAAACGTAATTCGAAGACTTGCTCTACACCATAAGCTAACTTGACATATACGAATAGCGATTTTACCATGCTATGGAGTTGGATAAAAAAAAATAATTCCTGCAGACCTACGTAAAGGTTTACGCAGAATTAACGTACGTCTGACGTACAGAAATTCCATATAGCTCTTTTTCACTTTTTTTACGAAACTTTACGTAATGTCTRGACGTCTCACTTTTACAGACCGATCGTTGAGCCACTAGGTATGGCAATAGAAACGTGTAATCTTTTGTACTAAGTGATTACTAAATTGTCGTGACATGTGTATAATTTACTTTACATGTAGTATCTTACGGAAAAGGCCAACTCAAATTTACATATCAAGAGATAAACTCTTATGGACAGGGACACGGAAAAAACCCATACATCATATAGAACTCCTCTCGCGGAAAAAAACGTACATCATACTTCTTTCGAATGCAACGGAACCTTTACTTAAAACTTTACACATTTACCGTAATTACATAAACAAATATGATTTTGATATACTTTACCAATAAAAATTGTACAATTACAACGCACAAAATGTCGTATTTATATCATTCATATCACYACAGTAGCCATGGTGTATACAACACAATGTAGACTTAACTGTAATACTACAGAACTAGTGCATTGTTCAAACATATCAAAGCTTTTCTGTCATTTCTGGTACAGCCTGAAATAAATAACAATTAATAATTGACAAAATGAGATTATTACAGAACAAACAAGCAACAAGAAACAAAACACAAACAATCAATGGGAAAGTGAAAAAGAAATGTAAAATAAAAGTCTTTTGAAGATGATGGGAATTGTAAAAGGAAACGTTTTTYATACCTTAAACAAATCTTCAACCAAGCCATAGTCAGCAACTAAAGCAAAAATGATCAAATTCATTAAATTGATTGTTACATAGCTGTTTCATTTGATATTTTAGTATTTGTATAGTTAGAATAAAATGTTAAAAAACAACGCTTTTATATGTTTTGTATGACCATATTTTTCACCTTGGAATATTGGGGCTTCAGCATCCTTGTTAATGGCAACAATCACCTACAGCAAACAATAATTTATTAAAACTTATTAGAATAAATTGATTACTCAGTGATTATGATGGCTGAGAACAGTTATGAAGAGTTGCATGGTTCCAAATAGTCTTTGTTGAGTGTAAAGTGTGACTGGGTAAACTTTATTGAAGCCCAAATGAAACTAAATGGGAGGGGAGGGTGGGGAAGTTYACCTTGCTATCTTTCATTCCTGCAAGATGTTGAATAGCACCAGAAATTCCAACAGCTATGTACAATTCCTAGATGAAACATTAGAATAATAGTGTTAACATAATTCTGGACTGGTTAACTTTTTAATTAAACCAAACTAAACACTAAGATTGTAACTGATGGAAGTGAAAACCTGCTGGAGATTGTGTGTATGTTTACTTACTGGAGCAACCATTTTGCCAGTCTGTCCAACCTGCATGTCATTAGGGACATAACCAGCATCAACTGCAGCTCTAGAAGCCCCAACTACAAGAAAACCACWCACAAATAACTACATTACATGATCCAAAGGTCTATTGACTGAGTAATATACTTTGAAAATATATGATGGTCTTCAATAAGAGAGAGTGTTGCACATGTATCTCACCTGCAGCATTAAATTTATCAGCAAGATCATACAACATTTTGAAGTTATCACCACTCTTCATTCCTCTTCCTGGACAAGGGTAGAAATGTACATGGTTAAGTTGGAAAAAGACTTGATCAGTAAAGGAAATAGTCTTTACCTCCAGATATGACTACTTTAGCACTGGTTAGTTCTGGTCTGTCGCTGACTGTCAGGTCTTGAGATTCCCAAGCTGATAGCTCATTACTTGTATCTGCACTTGGGGCTGTAAATTGATTKAAATAATTCTCATTGTCATTCCTTTCTGTGCCAGGAAAAGTAGCTGTTTTGCTTACCATCTTCGCTTGAAACACCTGCTCCTTCTGCAGCTGCTGCTTCAAATGTAGTTCCTCTGACTGTAAATACCTTGATAGGATCATTGGACTTGACGGTTGTTACTGCATTACCTTTCAAAATGAACACAAAACTCTTTTAAAAGTTCAATACTATAACAACTGACTCCATGATTGGTATTAAAAAAAAAACTACCATAAAATCACAATGAAAACACTTTTTTCTACGTCTTTAGAATGAGTTTAGCAGTTGCTTCATGAATTTGAGGAATGATTTCATTGCATTGTACATACCAGCATAAATTGTTCTTACAAAGGTGTCTTCCGACTGTATTTCTGTCACATCTGATAAAGCACCAACATCAAGTAAYGCTGCTACTCTTGGTAGAAGTCCCTGAAGAATTCCAGGAAAATGACAGTTAATTAATCACTAAAGTACAACAAAGTAATAATAAGATATGTATGTAATGAATACCTTTCCAAATGCAGTAGCACCAGCTGTGATATGTGAGAAGTTGAATTGGTTTTGTGTCGCCATTACTAAAGGTGTAAGAACCTCTGAAAATACAAACACAGGATGATCATYTTGTCATCATTCTATCCCACTCAATATCTTTTAATATGGCAATTGCAGGTAACATAAAGATATACGCTCTTACCTGGCAGAAAACCTTTGTATGCATCATGCTGTGCTACAAGGATTTTGCTAATTCCCTTAACTTTACTAAGTTCTTCTACAATCTACAACGAAGCAATAACTATTAAACTGCACCTACATATAGGAGGTCCTTTTTGAAAACCATTTCTTTGTAAATGAAAAAGTTTCCTCAATAAAGATTATCATTATTACCTTTCAAGATGGGGGAAGAGGGTAAGAAGCAATTCACAATTTACTTATTTACTTATAATGTGCAAATCATCACAATGTAGTCAACTCACAGGTCCACAATTTGTGCCAGCAACTAGAGCAGTTACTTCTCCTCCAAGCTTATTAGCAGCTGTCACAGCATTTAGAGTAATTGGTGCCAATGCCTTATCATTGTGTTCAGCTATAACTAGTGTTGAGGCATTTCTTGTAAGGCATAATTGACGGAGTAAGCCAGCCTATTAATACACAAAATGTTGAATTAAAAGTTACGAAAGAATTTATAATTCCAAAGTTCATTTGTATATTCATCATTYTATTGTTCAATCTTTTATTTACTATCATTGCTTGTTACAATCAATAACATCTCAAGTAAACTTAAGCTTATTATCAGCTGATCACGTACAGTAAACGAGGATTTTCTTTGTTGACAAAAATGACATTCAAATATTAAAGACACTATTCTAATCAAACGCCCTCTACATAGTAAGAACAGTGCAACAAACAAGGATGCACAAGATTTAATTTACAAAATATTTTTGAAATGAATTCGAGAAATGCGAGCACCGTGTTATGCAATTCACATGCGCAAACACAGTAAAACTAGCACAAAACGTAAAATTCATGTTACAAGGTTAAATAAGTGGTCACTTACTTGCTTGGAGAGCCGTGGTAATAAATTAATTCGCTGCATTTATCTTTTAAATTTATATTATTTGAAGATTTCGTGTCTATCACTGTTTTTCCTTGCGTGAAACGACTACCAGTTGAGCCTGCGATTCTGGTCATGCGCGTTGCCAGTTTATTAACACAGGAACCCCAAAATCTTGAATTATTTTCCCGCGCATTTTAGGTACGCTCGCGYACGTCAAAATCAAAACTTTTTACACTTTTACATATTAGCGATTTCATCGTCAATTTTATTTATTTTTATCCATTTTTATATCCAATTTTACTCTATTTTATGTTTTAAAAAGTGATGGACATTCGAAAATATGGCTATGCCTTTGAGGATAAAAGGAAGAGTTTGTCTGATAGTACCATGAAGAACAAAAGCTTACAAGYCACCGAAAACAACAATGAAGTAACAATGAGGCGAAGAAGAGAAGAGAGTGAAATGGATTTTGAGCTAAATGGCGTTCCCTTTGCAAAGTTCGTTTAGATTACTTGATGGTTTGAACATAGTTAATAGAGAGGACTGTCCTCTCTATTAACTATGGTTTGAAATGCTTTTTAACTCTCCGACATATTTTGAGCTGTCAAAACATTCTGGTTTTTCTTTCAGGAGCTCAAAGACAGTACGAAGAACAAACAAATTAAACTGTCTAAGTCTTYCGCAAGATTTCGACGACAACCTGGAAMCTAATGTCTATGATGTTTCGACTGCATGGATGTTGGAAAAAAGGACCAAACAATTTCCTTGGGAAACAGTTGGCCATGCACGACGCGAAAAGTACGATARCAATGCTATCCGTTTCAAGAYGTTTTCACTACCTAGCGACGCTTACTAGAGCAGGCGCAGAGKCAAGCGAAGATRCAAGAGGCCTTGTTTCAGTGATAAAGCAAACKCAGCAACATGCGCAAGATATCAAAATTTTTCATTTTTTCTCGCTCTTGTTCTTACCCTTGATTTTGGTARTGAAAACGCAACGMAACGCAAGCGCAACTTTTTGTCCTTGCTTCTGCGCTTGCTCTTGCGTCGCTAGTGAAAACAGGCTTATAGTCTCTAAGTTCACATTCCTTGTCTTGCAGTTTTGGCAACAGTATACGAGTCGAAAGCATCGACGCAAAGCCCTTTCCTTTTGGAGTAGTGAGTAGTTACAAACTCTTTCCTTAAAATTCTCTCGATTAATGAGATACTGCACGGTAGCCCCACTACCGTAGCATTTTCATCAATTTGCCCCGTACCCTCCCATGTCCACCTCCATCATCTTATGTAAATATTAGCTCCTTTTGTTTTATTTGCTTAGTTTGGTAACGCTGTAGCTTTGCGTGATTCCACGCAGTGCAGCGAACAACAGGGCTTTAAACCCAGAACCGCATGTAAATCATACAGTACGCGAGAAGATCTTCCCCATCCTTCAAAGCTGCGAAAACGTAAAAGATCTTCCARTTCCAGGAAGCAGCGATCTGGTATGGAAGTTGATTCACATCTTTCACTTCTAAGGAGAAAACACGCAGAATTCAACTGGTATGATATTTTTAATTCCGAGTCATGTATTCCTATTCACTCGTTTATTAATTTATTCGTTTAATGGGTTATCTCCTCTGCCATTTCCAGCAAGTCGAGGAAGTCGTTTCTAGTTTGACCTTAGGTAATTTAGCTACGATTTTCCTTCGACAGGATTTGTAAAGATAATGCCCCAAACACAAGTTTAGATCCAGAAGAAGTTCTACCCGAAAGAATGTTACAAAAAGTACCAAATACATCACCACCTTTATCGAGAATCAACCATCTTACAACTCCTTTACTCTACTCTCCTCCTAATACGTGGCAACAGCACAAATRCCCATCAGGAGAAACCTTTTCGTCGTCCATTAGCACTACTATTGATGAGGTACTTGATTTTTGCCTTGTTTGTTCAAAAAGGAATCGCGAGTTCCAGAACTTACGTATAAGTGGTATAATCACTGTAATCAAGCCGAAGTACTTTGCAGTTTGTTTTATATCTTTTTCTTTTTTTTCGGAGGACCAAATTATACCTCAAGTCAATGATCCGCAGTTTATACAGCGCGAACTGGAAAGCTATACATCCGACGACGATTTTCACTTAATATCCTTTGATATGTAACATTTTTACTASAAAATARCCATGTAGCACAGTTTAATATTTTTGCCTTAACMAAGCAAACACCACTACCAGCGTACCAAGTGATGTTGCCAGCTACGATAATGACGTTTTACAGCATGGTTTCGGGGAGCTAGACTGTTGGGCTGTTATTGCACAAGAAAGTATCAAAGAAGAATGATTCCTATAAGGAAAATACAATATTACAGGTTCCTTTGACTTACAGAATTTATAAACTTCCTTGTATTTTACTTTTGAATTTTTAACAAAAACCATTCATACTATTTTTGCATATCGAGGTCAATCTGCGCAAAAGACCCTGACAATTCCCATTCTTACAGAATTCAAATACGCATTATAATTAGTACAACAATAATTTATTCGTTGCTTAATTGTACTAATTAATAATTATAWTAATATTCAAAATATCTCAGCTATATTTCGTGGTTAATTTCTGACTAATGTCTAATATTCAAACTCATCAATTCAAATATTAAAACAATTTCCTTTCAATTAGCAAAGCTGTGTAGACACAATCGAGACTCTCAGTGCATCTAACCTTAAAAAAGGTGCCAACTTATGGAGTAGGAGGAAGGAATGGAAATGYTGTGTTCTCCTCAAAGAAAATAGTAGGCATTCCACTAGGAGGACATTACTAGTAATGGGCTCCTGCTCATGCAAAAAAAAAAAAAAAATGAAATCAAGTGCATCAAAATACACAAATATCAAAAATCAAGTGCAAGCCCTGCAAAATTGCTCTTTTTGCAAATGCAGTTATTGTTCTAAGGACATCAAGCAGATCTATCAGACTCTTCGGTCTTCTAACTTATCAGAAACAGCCTTGCGTGGGGTACATGTTGTCTTATAATAATATAAATGTTTTTTTCTTTAAATCCTGCTGTGGGTTGTTACCTCGTTTAGTTCTTGGTAATTTGTACTTAATACTCTGAAGAATACAGTGAAACCTTTACAGAAACCTCTACACTACGAACCCCTCTATATTACGGACAACTCTCGGTCATATTGYATCCTTTGTAAAAATGTACGACCTTATTCAATACTACAGTTATCTCTATATTACGGTCCGGTAGTCGTATGATCCAGGTTCCACTATATCACAAAGYCGTCCAGTTAAAACTTTTTTTGACTGTAAGATATAAAACAATCTATCTAAAATCCAGATTTTGTTGGGATACGTTAATTTAGGCCTGCCTTTGTTATGTTTTGAAGCAGTTTAATGATYCAAGTACARATCATCAATCAATCGACTCCTTCAAAACCCTGTGTGTTTTCTATTGCAATCCTCAGTTTTTCCCGCAGTTCGTAGTAGCTTCTGTACCTCGGAAGATCAAGTCGGTTGAAGCTGCAAGAAATTACGAGGAAAAGTTACATAACTAGACGCTCTCAGAGCGTGTACTCGGGCTACGGGTATAGTGAGATCGGGAAACCATCTAGGATTAACATACCATGTGTGCGCTCTTGGTAGACAATGTGGAGAACCCCAAGGTTCCACAGTAAACTTCTGAGGTCCATTGCTACCATACAACTCACTGAATCCATTCATAGGAACACGCGAAGTCCCAGTGACAAACTGAAGCAGTCTTGCACGAGTTTCCATATCAAACGAGTTCACGGCCTAGGAAGATATATATATTTATTAATATTGTTAACTTGGGATTATCAATGGAAATCYGTTGTCAATTTTAAAAACACAAACAAGTCTACCATGCTAATAGCCTTCATTAATTGAAAGATATACGACTGTATGMCCAACGTTCCTAGATTAGCTCAAAATCCTTCAGTTTCCTTACCTTCCAAAACCATTGAATCACGATATGTTTGTCGTGATATTCGCCTCTATAGTTAGCATTCTTTCTCCAGTCTGTAGTATCTATGTCCCCTAAGCCACACATTAACAGCTGAAAARATTTGAAAGTTAAGTCGTCACTTTGACGGAATAGACTTTTATGCACAACGCACGTTATACTAATGTATGCCCTCTTCGTATCGCACAGTCGTGATAAAATTATAAATTGTAAACCATACAAAGAGAAAACCCTTGAACGTGCACTAGATGTGTGGCATTAAAGAATGGCGTAAWAGGTGGGTCAGAAAGACGTGATAAAACGATTACATCAATACTTGCCTCTACTTCCCTTTCATCAAATATCTGATGCAAATTATGTGGAATGAGTTCATTGAAGCCCTGCATAAAAACAGAATTGTATTCAAGCAAACTGCTGAGTTTATTTAAGCAAAAAAGTTTTGAAGTAGAAAAGGTGTTATAAACTATTCACCTCCATAAATTTCCGCATCTGATCTTCTACTCGACTTACAAATCTCCACTTAATAACGAGACTAATTTGAAGGAAAAAAGACATGTCACTATACGAGCATGTGCAATAGATAACGAATATTCTAGAAGCCCCACTTACTTTATATACTCTAGTTTATTTTCGTTCGTAAGTTTTATGTCGGCTCCTCCGGGTTTCAGCTCCTTAACCTTGAGCTGTAATACAAACACACAACAATAAAAATGTTTCTCTTCGTTTGTTTCAATTTTAATATGATAATGATGGTGTAATCCCTACCTCACCAAATAAGTCTTCATCAACACAAAAATGGAGATCCAAACATTCWGGATCATTCTCCAATATCCAGTTAAGACTGTTGAAATATTCAGAATCCTGCAAATCAAAGGAAACACGATTTTAATAAGATAAACTAATAAAGGAATCCCGTGAAMAGGTACCTACCACACTCTCCATGTCAATCAATGTGATTGGTTTATTCAACATCATCTTGTAAAATGGACGAATAAAAAACGCTGAAAGGTAAGAATACCAATAATTACAATTGCACTTTATATATTTTTTATATTTAATTATGTTTAAGAAATATAAAATGGCGAGCGTCTCTGTCATCTGATATAAACACGGTGGGAGTTTAAAAACAGAAGAGAAGCAAGCTTAGAAACACRAGCRTAGAGAGTGTTTCTCTTGCTTCTCTCAAATTTTATAATGATGTATATAGGATTACCATCTAACARTTTCCCATGGTACACTGCCATTCCAGCCACTCGACCAATAAATTTAAAGTAGTTTAAATGATCTTCATTGCATAACCCAGAGTTTGGGTTGATTTGAAGTGTGTAATTATCACTAAAATAAAGAAAACAAGGACTGTCAGCAAACATACTCTGAGTAATTTAAATGTACCTGAAAATTACCATACCTTGCAGAATACTCAAATAATCCATAATAAGGGTTGAAAACCTCTCTTGACAAAAGATAAAACCACTCTCTACAAGTTGGGAAAAGAAATTCATTACAAGAACAACATATAGATAAATACTTTAAGAGAGTGGAAGGCAAACAAGAAGAAAAGAATGCAGTCAAAACTTGATTAAAGAGGGAATACACAACATGTGCTACTGAAATGCATAATAAAACAGAGAAATGGGATTAAGAAAAGAAATGAGATTGGAAAAAGGAAGAAATACCTTTGCACGCCACCATAATCCAGACCTGTTTCTCCATCAAAGACAACCCACAATTTTGCCTTCAGTACATCTGAGTTTCTTACACTTAGCAGCACAGCACGGAATGAATCCTCTAAAAGATTGTTGCGCCTGATATGAATTTCATACTTGTTGGGCACATTGCTCTGAAGAAATGAGAACAAATTTGTGAAATACCAAAACTATTTAAGAAGACCAACTTAAGACATAATTTTAATAGAGCTAAATTTGGATTGAGGGATCATTTTGCAGTGGTTTAAGATCATTTTGGATTATATTATGATAACAATCATTACTTACCGGTCTTTTCAACTTAGATCTAAAATAGTCACATTTGCGTTTGTAGTCTCTTGAATAAGGAACAACCTGGCAAAAGTCAGGTAAGTTAATTTTTAAAGACTAAAGACTCAACATATTGCACTTCTGCAGTCAGAAGCTTCTCACCTGAGTTTTTGATTTCTGTATCTGCAGTCTTGGATCCTCCCATTGGGTTGAGCGTGTAGCTGTTAAACAATAAACCATCCATTAGATGCAAGAAATAATCAATATTGAGTCAAAGCCCTCTAATATGCATTTTTTATACTTACCATGATCAATATAAAAGACTCTTCCATCGGCATGTAATCTCTCCTCCCAACCATCCTAGTAATGAAAAGTTACTATATTAGTACATTTCTATGATAGTCATAATCTCTGGACAACTAAAGGCAGATTTACATGATGCAGACTTGTCATGCTCGACTTGATGCACAAGACAGAATCGTAAGGCTAATGCTCTAGACACTTGTCTTAATCTATTGAACCTGCGCTCAAAAACCTACTACATCCAATAGGCAAGTTTACACAGCAAACACACAATGTAAATCAGACTTAAGAGTATGTTGTTTGGCAAAGTAAGTCTAAAAGACAYGTCTGTGAGATAATGTCTTGTTAAAACATAATTACTGGAAGTGGTCCAAGATCTTGATTGACATTTGGGGCAGCTGACGGAGGTGATGAACTCAATGACGGTGCAGAAGCCGCTGTACGATTAAGTCTTGGGTCATGCTGAAAGTACAATAAAACTATTTACCAGTAATCAACAGCAAATAATAATAATTGTTATTTGAAAAATGAGAATACAGTGTAAATATTATCAAATAAATAATTATTGCTAATAAACACAATTAACAGCTGAGACTACTGTACTGCGACTTGAAGCACAAAAACAGATTTATAATATAATTAAATAATTAAACTATCTAATAATCCTTATTTMATTATGATTATTTTTAATCATCTTGAGTATTGTATTTGGTTTCCTCACCCATGACGTTGTCTGTGTATTGTGATCAATAAAGAACACTCTACCGTTAGGTGCTTGYTGCATGGCCCAGCCTGGAGGCAGWGGCTCACTAAGAGCAGCCTGAGATTTAAAGCAATCCATAAGTCTGTAGCTATAACATCATTTTAATCATTTAACAGAGAAGATACATATCAAAACAGAAACTTACCTGATCATTGGTGTTGGTCTCTTCCGTCACAGTTGGAGTTTCAGCTGAATCTACAATTATTGGTGCAGGTTCTGGATTTGGTTGGACATCATCCTCTACACTAAGGTGACGACGAATACGAAACTGCCTTTCTCTATTAATCTCATCTTGTTGCATTTCAATTCTTCTTCTTACWGGACTACAAACACAAATTGACTTTGATAAATCAATGTAGCATATTACACTATCCAGTCTTAGTCTTTAATGTGTCCAGGAAGAGATCACTGACAATTAATAATACATACCTGTTTGGTATTTCCCAACAAGTTGTCCTTGTGTTATGATCAATGTAAAACCTACGGCCAAGAGCATCTTGTCTTTGTTCCCAGCCAGCTGGGAGGCTTGGTGTTTCAATGTCAGGCATCTAGTACAGGAAATAAACACAATCACACTTAACTTGTATATGCAATAATGGCTTCACCCTGTGACAGAAAACTATACATTGCACATAACATAGCTTTTTGACTCTTATGGTCAAAATATATATCATAATTGAAATCCCTTGCCTAATAGCCACAGCTATATATCTCTCAAGATTGTAAAGTAAACTGCAAAGCATGGTGGGAGTGTGGTTATGAAACAGCATATGTAACTTATTAACAAGCTTTATCACTAAAGCTAATTTCGTATGACTGTGCAAAAAAGAAAAAAACAAAAAAAAAAACAACAACAACAAAACATGACACTTCCAAACCATGACCATGCCAAGATTGTGATATGTTCTTGAATCAAATGTTTCACAGATATATAATGAATACAATGTAAAAGAAAATAATAACAATAAGTACCCCTGAGCCTATTGAGGGTGCAGACCCTATTGCTTGTTCAGTAGGTGTAGCATTTGGAGTAAAATTGCGAGAGGTAGATGTTGGGATATCAAGAGGCGCTGTGGCATTTGGTGTAGCATTTGGTGTAGTATTCTGAGCAGAGGATGATGGAGTATCAAGGGGTGCTGTTGCATTGGGTGTTGCATTTGTATTAACATTGGGAGAGGTTGAAGCTGGAAAATCYAGAGGTCCACGTCCAATGGGGAATCCAGGTAAATCTGTTTGTTCTAAAATATGCAGTAATAATACATAACATTATCAATGCAATTTTAATAGGCATACACGACCAAGTACTATTAAATAATGAATTCATATTTATTTATAATTATTACTAGCCTGCTGGAGGTGGTGATGGGTCATTGGTGAATGATAACTTTAAGCACACTTTTCCTTTTACTCTGGATTTAATGCTGAAAGGAAAACAGTTAACAGAGCAGAACATCAATACACATGTCTAACAAAGCTGTGTAAGTATCATAATCAAGCACAAAATTCATTTGTAAAACAATTGAAAGTAATGTAAATGCATGTCAAACCTTCTTGGTTTCAGAGATATTTCCATGACAGTCTCAATTTGATAAAACTAACCAAACAAAAACACAGTTATTAACGCATCATATCAACATTACGAAACGTTATTATTCCTTACCCTCAATCTTTTAATACTGATGTATACTTCACCCAAAAAATCATCTCTAGTCTGAAATGCARACRAAAAAATGTCAAGTTGAAGGAAAAAGAAAGGGTTTAATATCCTAGAAGGAAAAGGTCAACTGAACAAATGCAAATAGAAAGTGKGAAATAAAATAAGAAGCAAAATAAGTTAATATTATATGAAGGGGATTCAAAAGAAACAAGTGATGGATTGGTAGATTCAGTCGTTTTTTTTGTTCAGATTTTTGGATTCTGGATATATTCTAATTGCAGATATATGCTGGTTACTCTAAGTGTGAAGAATGCAATGTTTTTTCTCCAATGCAAATTTGATAAACTTGTCAATCTTTATAGTTTTTTCAGGGGATTTGCAGATTCCAATGACCCCTACCACCCTCATGTCCCCTTATATATTAATTCATAACTAAAATATATCACTTACAACTCGATTCTCATCAAAAACTTGAACAAGAAGATTATTATCAAGTGGATTTACCTGAAAAATAACAATAAACTCTAAGCACCACTCATAACGTTTTTACAAAATCTCAATATTACTCACTCTAAAAGTAAAGGTCTCATTCCATTTTGGGTCCAGTGTCTGTAAAAAAAGTAAATAATAATACTAGAGCGGATTTCATATGAGTGGGACACCGTTACCGCAGGGTTACCGCACAGTTACCGCACCTGGCCCGCAGAATTTTGGTGAATCAATGGGGCACTAGAATTTGGTTACAGTACGACTACGGACACAGTACAGTACCGTCCGTTTCCCACTCATACGAAATCCGCTCTAATGGTAAAATTGTAATAAAAGTAATAATAAGCCATTATGCTACCTATGTTACTTAGCTATTCCACATGAAGGATTTGTGGTTRATAAAATTAACAAAAACATGTAAATTACCTTCTTTTTAGTTTGTGTTGTTGCTGAATCAATTATTCCAGTCGTGGGATCTCCTCTATATACCATTACTTTGCAATAAGGATCACTTWAACAGAATAATAAAGAGTTTTAACCAACTTGTCCATACTTCAAATACATTAAAATGACCTTTACATTTATGTCAATGTATCATTATTGCTGTGTATATTTTTTTAAGATTGACTAGCACAAGTAAGCAACAGATAATGTATGAGTGAACAATGATATCCCATAACTTGATATATTTGAACATTGCGTCAGTAGGGGTCATGATTTAAATGGTTATAATTCAGATGAACCATATTTGTCTTTGCATGCACTATGAAGAAAACTATTGCAAATAAATGACGTKATCTAGGCTGTGTGGATAAAGGGTATACCTTGGTCTTTGGAAAATAGTAAAAAAAATCATATTATAAAATGTTTATTGTCTGACTTTAGTTGTGAGGAAAAACATTTTTCTTGTTTGTTCTCAGCATGAACTTGAGCCAAATATTTCCCCAATAACCCTATCACTCAATAAGKTAATAAGTATATAGACTGTAAGAACTATAAATATATAGTTTAAAAGATCTTTGTTGGTTGTATTTTTCAGTTTTTGATTTCAGTTTAAATGCGTTTTTGTTTTTGTAACGTCTTTGTGTTCCTTGAAGATGACCGCTTAGGTCCAAAGCTTGGAATAAATTGGTAAAATTGTTCATGGTTGATTCACCAAACTACTTATAAATACCRTATAAATATATAATTATACAACATATACAGAATATATTACATGGGCATGAAGAGATCTATATGGATTTTATCTTTGAATGTTGAAAAGTTCAATCAAGAGTGAGCATAAAGATAACATCCACATCTCCAAGCAGCCATACAATCATACACATATTCTGTTTATCATATAATTATCTATGGAAGTAAATTATGTTTTAAAATGACTTCTATATTACTCTACTTTTTGAAAGCGAGAAATAGTACAGGTATTTCATAGATCAATCATAATATGATACCTCATAATCAATATTGGTATCAGTTATTAACTTCCTGGTACAGAGGAAGAAAGAWGAAATAAAAATATTACATCATTATGAAATAACTTCAAAGAATGTCAAAACACAGCTATCTACAACAGCAGCCATGTATAACAATTGTTGCTTGACCTACAATGTCAACAAGGCCTTGCCTTTTGTCAACTGACAATGCTTAAAATGCTATTTACAATTTTTTATCAATTTAAGTTTAATGCGAATCTGACCACAACATGACGTTTGCAATTCGATGGGTCTCTCGAGGAAAGTTCACATTGTGCCAGAAAGTCACATGTGCAGCACATYAACGACATCAGATTATCTCTTGCAATCACGAAATACCCGATTAAGCATACCGATTGACAAATAACCGTAAATAGAGAACAAAAAGATAATAGTTTGCATTAAGTAGGAGTTAAGGCAGGTCCTTCTCCTAATGTTATAAGCTATTTAACTATAGTTGTCGTCTAAACATTGGCTTCGATCTTCTAAACAACATTTCAATCGTAGGATTATTCGTGATTATTTATATCTGGCAGTAGCGCAAAGAAAACAAGCCATATGCTCACCTTAATCCAAATATATCTTTTTTGCAGAGATCTTTTGCTTCGATTACCTCTACATGTAGATATTTCAAAGCACCTTCAGGTCTGCCAGGCTAGAATAGAAGAACSCTTAACTAACGAAATAATAGTCATACTATTTTGAAAGTTTCATAAATTAAGTAACCTACTTGTTCTCTTAATCCGTAAATTCTTGGCTCACTTGACATGTTAGATTGTATGATACAAAGTTCAATATCAGTGATCGTAAATTCCAGATACTGCTAACATCGTAATGGCGGACGCCATGTTTTGACCCGCCTGCTAAACTAGTGCCAGGCTCTAACGATATATGCTAATTTATCAAAACGTGGACTTTTGACAGCAGCGATAGAAAACCAGATGTTGATTATTCTTAGAGATTCTTTCATTCCGTTATTGTTAATTTTTTTTATTAAAAATCTATTAAATACTGTCTGATGAGTGCATAAGCACGAAACTCGGAGTAACAGCAAATCTTTGTTACAAAATATAAATCTATAAATAGATATCAATCGTCGGTCAGCAATGCGGATCTTTTTCCCCACGCAAATTCTTGCAAGCGCTGAATTCGCAGGTGTTTTGCAAAATACGTAGAGTACTGGAATAGTACTTCCTCGAGCTCTTTCCTCCCCCAACCGAATTTGTTTCAAAATTTTTGATTTTTTTTAAATATCTGAAATATATTGTTAAATGTTTGCCTAAGAAAAAGAAGACCGAAAGAGAAAAGGCATGTAGATAAAAAATAAGACAGATCTCTGAAATTTTCATTGCTTTCTCGTTTTGWTCCAGCTTCCTGTTTACATAATAACTGATTACTTGGCACTTTTTTGATTTTGTGGCCCAGGGTTCGAATCCCAAGATTAGTTTTTTTTTCTAACTTTATTAAGTATATATTTCTAACTAAATTAGACAGTAAAATTTTATACATATTTCTATAATTATGATAATTATCATGAACAAAATTAGTTGAGATAATTTGTGCAAATTACCWCATTACAGATCTCTAGCAAAAATTCAATTCGCTAAGGATAAATCTATATAGAGAATCAGCCCCTYTKCCCTCAACGAGGGACGCYTCAACGCAGGCTATAAATCCGTGAACTCTTGTTTTTAACTTSCGAACTTTCAAATAAGAAATTGTTTCTGTGTTTGAACTAAGAATTTATAAAACATATAAAAAGAAAATTCTAATTATTAAAATACACCTAGTGGTTTTCATAAACTCGTGAATACCACTCCACATTTTTCTTTCTGGTGAAATTCTTTACGCTGTCAGCTCTAACAATGCCTTCTTCTACAATTTCAAATCCATCGTCACAGTTGTCTTTGATGTCAAAAAGGTGAGTTTTCCAAACTGCGATTCGTCCGTCACTGGACCCAGGCCCCGTAAGGATGAACGAGGTATCGGTCAGACACATGGAACGGATTCGATCTTTGTGGAGCTGTAGAGTCTAAAACGAGATTGAACAAATTATAAATGATTGATTAATAACTATGGAATAAGTAAAYCAGCGGACTGGATGATGCCATRTACATTATAATAATAATAATTGATGATGTGATAATTAAAGGCCCAGTTTGCACCATTATGCTTTGCGCGCCTCTGTTATTGTTATGATTTACACCAAAATACTTCTAGTATCCAAATATCACCATAAAACGAATGTCAGATGGTTGAAAACTCTAATATTAGCTTTTAAAGTGCTTTAGAAAAGTGAGATGGTCAAAGATTCGAAACGCACGGTAAAATTTATAACTTTCGGTAAACTGAAAATGGCCGCCTCCAGGCCCTCGCGTCCCCCGAATCATAACGGTGCAAACTGGGCCTTTAAAAACMTACCTTTTCAATTGTAAAGTTTTGCGCATTAATGATATAGATGGTACCGTCTCGGCCACCTCCCCATACCTACCAAAAATCAACCAAATGTATGATGTTATAACTATGAGAAAGGGGTCACACTAACGAACAAAATTCATGCATCGTATGAAAGACACTTYATTATTAAAATTAGACCCGCAATAATTCGCCTCTARCTAAAGCGTTGATMGGACTGCTAAAAAGCAAACCCTGTTTTATGAACAGCTCGATGTCACCAGAAAATACAGAAACAAACAAGCATGCAGTTTTAGTAGTCAAATTCAGTTCATCTCCCAAACAAAGTTAATTCAAATTCTTCACAGGTCGATCCTACGCAAAGTAGTAAATAGAAGATAGAGCGGATTTCGTATGAGTGGGACACCGTTACCGCACGGTTACCGCACAGTTA